AACAGTAAGACCAAAAACTGATTTCCACTTTTTTTAAGTGAAGCAAATATTTTATTCAAATCAGCTTTCAGATCACAGTTTATCCAAGTGAACATACGGTAACATTGCTCTAAAAAGAAGGGGCCCACATGTGACACAGACACAATCCAGTGTCTATCAAAATACCATTCATAAAGAAACAGGACTCATTTCGTTCTGGGTGTGAATTCCATCTGGCATATGAGAGTAGTATCAAAAACTTAAGACATCGTTTCTTCCAGCATAACATGAAGAACGTTTCACTACTCTGAAACTCTGAAACTCATGTGTCCAAACACCCGTAACAATTAGGAGAGAAATTCTTCATTTGTTCCTCAGCAGGCTGCTTCCCAACCTCCAGTGGACTAAAAGAAAGTCAGGGTAACCAAGTGCATCATTCTGTACACTCCTAAATGCACTTTAGTTTTAGTTCACGATGTATAAGAAAGTGACCAGTTTCAGAGTCTTGCTATGCAAGGACCTAAGCTTAGTGAATTTTAAAAATAAGAATTGTACCTTCTGGTCAGGAATGCTTCTTTCTTGGAAATTGTTTTTCCCAGGTTAAAAGTGAGGCTTGGAGCTTCCCAAATCTTCACCATGGCTACAGACTTACCATATACTGTGTGATGAAAGGACATGCATTTGTGCTACTCATGTCCTCAGATGGGAAGGAAAAATGATGGTGAGGATGGGAAGTTCCAGTGTAAACGGTCCACTGTGTGAAGAGGTCATTCCCCCATCAGATGCAGAACACAGAGATGAGACCAGAACAAAGCCATGTGCCAATGACATTCATGCCAAGTTAGGAGAAAGTAGTAAATATGAATCCAAAGCAAATGAGAGAGGGGATGCTGCCATTTACTCCAAGAATCAGGCCTCACTTCTGGCAGACACCGATGCCTGGAGGTAGAACCAAAGAGTCCCCTGATAAGATATCAGTGGATGTAAAGGAACACAGGAGGAATATGCCCAGAAAGTAGGGGTTCAGGAAGGAAAAGTGCACAGTGAGTCCGAAAAGGAGATCAAGCTCCCAAAAGAAGAGGAAATGGAGAAACGAGAGAAAGCCAGCAAGATCCAAACGTATGGAATACTTGGACATGGTTTATATGCACCGGACATTTGCAAGACCAGAATGTGAAGATAAGTCATGGAAGGAAACACAGCTGTTGAGACTCTTAAGACTAATTTTAGTTTCAGAACCTTGAGAGCCAGAGCACTCACTTCTAAAGTGCTCCTGACAGTCCTGAGACTTCATCAGGAGCAAGAGCCCTCTAATGTTTCCTTTTTAAAGATCTCCTATTATTTCTCTTGATACCATATAATATTTCTGATTTAAGGTCATAAATTCTTAATCTGGAACTAACATTCACAATACCTAGTTCTGCTTCTCAAACTGAAGTATCACTTTATCTATTTATATGTGTGTTTTAAGTAATCCTCCTTCTGTGTCTATTGTATATTTCCCCCAAAAGTTGATTTCTAAGTATAAACTGGGGAAGTCAGAGACAATGAACTGATATTTTGAGGGTCGAAGGAAATAATTGTTAACCTAGGATTATTGTCACTCAGTAATAGTATCTTCATAAAATGAAGACAAACTAAATAGAACGAAAGATAGGTGTCTGTAATCCTTGCACTTGTGAGGAGGAGGCTCGGGGATCATGAGTTTGAGGGCAACTTGGTCTACTTAGCAAGACCCTGTCTTAAAAAACCAAACCCCTCCAAAAGCCCAGTGACCCAGCAAAATTTTCACTTGCAGATTCACACTGAAGGCAGTGTTAAAATGAGTTGTTTTGGCAGAAGAATGATCCCAGATCGAAACTTGGAGAGCTGCTGGACAGTTGAAAATGCATGGAAGGGGCAAACCAATGAAAATTTAAATCATCTTAATTACATAAAACATTAACAGACAGCATGTGAAGTGAGGTGAGGACTGTAATTGGAGTTGGTGTTCTAAGGATCTCTGAAATGGCAGTTAGAAAAAAACAAACTGGAAAATCTAAAGTTTAGAAATGCAGTTGTTGTATACATTCCAAACACTTCCAGACAGCTCACAAGTGAGGAAGAAATCATAGTGGCATTCACAAAGCAATTTGAGTGATAATGGAAATACTATACTGTAGTACATGTGGGATATAGCAAGAGCTGTGTATAGAGGGGATCTTTTTTTTTTTTTTTTTTTTTAATTTTTTTGGTGGCACTAGGGTTTGAACCTGCTTGCTAGGCAGGTGCTCATAACGACTAGAGCCACTCCACCCACCTCTAATGTATGCTATATATATATATATATATAGTTTGGTGGCACTGTGGTTTGAACTCAGGGCTTCATGCTTGCAAAACAGGTGCTCTACTGTGTGAGCCACTTCGTCAGCCCTAGAGGGAAACTTAAGTGTCTATCAATAAGTTACAACTCTAAAGGTAAACAGGGCTGGGGATGTAGCTCTTCATTCTGTGCTTGCCTAGCATGTGCAAGCCTGTGTGGCCCAAGTTGGTGGAGTATCTGCCTACCAAACATGAGGCCCTAAGTTCAACTCTAGTACCATCCTCCCCCCACCCCCAATTTTTTTAAATCAAAAGATAATGGATATGGACAGCAGTTATCCACGGGATACTGTTTGACTTAAAAGCAAGTCTTTGATAATCTCTTTATCTCAGAGTATCTTGATTTTTTTCCCTTTATTCCTGAAGGTATTTTTGCTACCTAATAGATTTTTGGATCAATAGTTCTTTTCACACTTTAAAATGTTCTTCCACTGCTTCTTCCTGGTTTCTGATGAGAAATCCATAGCATTTGAATTATTGTTCTCCGAATTGCAATGCAGTAACTTTCTCTGACTCCTTTAAGATTTTTTTTTTCAGTCTTTAGTTTTTGGTAGTTTGTGATGTATTTAGGTATACATTTCTTTGAATTTGCCTTGTTCAAGATGTATTAATCTTCTTTTAAAAATCTTATTTATTTGTGACATCATCTTGCTCTGTATCCTAGGCTGTCCTCCAACTTGTGGTCCTCTTGCTTCACCCTCCAAAGTGCTGATATTATAGGTGTGTACCACTATACCTGGCTTTGTGGATCTTGAAATTGTGTTTGCCACCAAATTTGGGAGGTTTTCTGCCATTATTTCATCAAATATGTTTTCTGCACTATATTCTCTTCTCCCATTGTGACTGATGAGATGAATGTTAAAATGGTGATATTATCCTGTTGACTCTGTTCGTTTTTTCTGTTTTTCTCTGTGTTTATCAGACTGGATAATTTCTGTTGATCTTCAAGTTCACTGACTATTTAGGTCTTTTATCTCCATTCTACTGTTGAGGCCTTGGAAATTTCATTTTTAAAATTTTGGTTATATATATTTACATTAATGTGCATATTTACATATATATATATTTATTTATTTGGCAGTACTGGGGTTTGAGCTCAGGACGAAATCAGGACCTCACTTTTGCTAGGCAAGTGCTCTACCAACTTGAGCTGTGCTGTTGCTCTTTTTGCTTTAGCTGTTTTGTGAATAGAGGTCTCAGCGTTTTTGCGTCGGCCCAGCCTCAGACCATCATGGGTTTCTTTTTTTGTTTTTTTGAGATGAGGTTTCACTAAGTTGTTCATACTGATCTCAAACTTCTGGGCTCAAGTGATCTCTTACTTAAGCTTCCCAAGTTACTGGGTCTAAAAGCAATGCCAGGCCATCTGACTTCTTTTGTGTGTGTAGGAAGACTGGGGAGGAAAACAGCCTCTCGCAGTGTTACTCAGGCTGGCCTTGAACTTACAGTTCTCCTGTCTCAGCTACCTGAATGTTGGAATTATAGGCATGTGCTACCATGCCCAAGTACCCTTGATTTCTTTTTCTTCCTTTTTTTTTGGTAGCAATGGGGTTTGAACTCAGGGCCTCACCCTTGCTAGGCAGGCACTCTACCACTCAAGTCACTCTGCTAGCTCTTTTTTGTGTTAGGTATTTTTGAAATAGAGTCTTAAGAACTATTTGCCCAGGCTGACCTCAAATCTCGAGCCTCCTGATCTTTGCTTCCTGACTATCTAGGATTACAGTTGTGAGCTACTGGCACCTGGCCCTGATTTCTTTTTTCTTTTTTTTTCTGCAGTGAACATGATGTCCCCTGAGTAGCTAGGATTACAAGCATGAGCCACCAGCTCCTGGCTGATTGTTTGCTTTTGATGCCAAGCAGTTGGGCATCAAGCAGTTGGGATTGGAAGAGTTCCCCTTTCTTATAGTCATAGCTGCTGCCATGGGATTGCTTGGGCAGGGGCAGATAGAAAGAAAAGAAGGGGGAAGAAAAAAACCCCACCAAACTCCAAAAGCAATTCATGAGATTTTCTTCTACTTAGGAAGGTCCCCTTTACTTGTCTCAGACTGAAAAAGACAAGCCCTCTCTTGGAATACTTACTGTCTGTACTTTTTGTGCAGTTCTGGGTTTGAGTCTGCCTTTGAGTATAGTCTAGGAGGTATCAGAGAAAACAAAACCAGGAAAGTCTTTGCTGGGTGTGTGGTTCTTTTTCTAGTTGTAGTTTCCTTCCCAATCCGTCTGTTCTCATCTTCAGAGTCCTCAAATAGCAACTCCATCCATTCTGTGTAGGTTTTCAGTTAAATTTAGTGGGAAAGACAGAACAGACTATATTTTGTCTTTATCAGATGTAGAACACAGAACATTGTAATTTCATTATAACTATTGCTCACTGGTTTTGGTTAATAATTAATAAAACTATATACCTAATGTGAACAGTGTGGGGGTGGAAGCAGAAGTAAACAATTTCATACTCATTATAGTGAGTAATTGAATTATTAATTTTAGCCTTTTTGATCCATTTTTGCTTCAGGATTTGACTGATTGAGGGAAACAATGCAGGGTGGAAAGTCCCTGATGTGTATTTTTTGGATGCAATAAGACATAATTATAATAACAAATAATTACATATATTATAATAAGAATAAGAACTTAAAGTAATTTATTATTATGTACTTGTTTCTCAGGTCTTAGAAAAATACCCCAATACACCCATGAGTCATAAAGAAATTCTTCAAGTTATCCAGAGAGAAGGACTAAAAGAAATCAGGTAAGTTATTTAAATATTATCAGTAATAATTATAACAGTTGATTAGAGTATTTGACATTACATAATAGAGTATTTTAGACCTAAAGATGATTAGTAATAAGAGCTTTGTTAACTTTTGATTTCTTCAGCTCTCAGGTCTTAGGATTTTAAAGTTGTAGCACAGTTAAAGTTAAAAAAAGTTCTGAGGAAGAAAGTAGCTCTCTCCATGCCCATGCACTTTAATTTTTAGAAGGCCTGGAGCCATCTTTAAGCCTTCACCTATCACTTCAGTCTTTAGATTTAATTAGTTTGATCATTAGCAGATAAAAAGTTGCTAGAAGGCAGGGAGAATGCTGGTTGTTGACAGATAATCTAGGAAGACATAACATTTGCTAAAAAAGAATAAAATGGAAAAGATATACTATGTGGGTCAAATAAAACTCTTAGCTGGGTATGGTGACTAACACCTGTAATCCCAGCTACTTAGGAGACTGAGACAGGAGGATCACTTGAGTCCACGAGTTCTAGACCAACCTGGGCAGGATAGCAAGACCCTGACTCCAAAAATGTATAAGCAAATGCATAAATAAATGTCTTGTGTTCAAATGTAGTAGACTGGAATACATTAACATAGAACCAAAGACAACAAGCACATTTCAATATCTGAGCGCTTTATTACATTAGAGTAGCACATAATAGTTACTATTCTTGATGAAGACTTTGTCATGAAGAAATATTTAAATTGTATTAAATTTGCTTTCTAAGTCATGACACATTTGGCAATCTACCTTAAATTCTATGAATATAGGACATTTGTTGCACTTTGCAATTGCTACCAGTGGTTTTCAACTGTGGATGGTATTGTGTAAACACCTACAGGGAGGGGAGATTACAGTTTCGTGGGAGGGAGGCTACTCTTTATGGGAGGGGAGCACACTGGGACGTTTAGTGCGTAGGTAAGAGGGACAAAACCTTGCTTGTATGGCAGCCCTTCACCTTGAGCAGTTGTTTAGTTCAGATTCCAGTAGTGTTGCTATGCCCCAATACTTGTAAGTGGACAATAGCATATTTCTTTTCTTTTTTTTTATGATTTTATTTTATTTTTTAATTTCCTTTATTCATATGTGCATACAATGATTGGGTCATTACTCCCACCTTCCCCCCGCCCCCTCCCTTTCCCCCCATGACAGTAGCATATTTCATCACACATAGCCACGACATTGTTCTAGATTTTATTTCTCATTTTCCTTAACACGAAACTCTATTTTGGATTTGAAAATTTTCGTGGTGCTAAGAATTAAACACAAGACCTCATTTCATGGTAGGCAAACACTCTACCACTGAGTCACATCCCAAGGTCCTGAGATTTTTTTTGTTGTGGCTCTTGTTTTCTAAAGCAGTTTATTTTTTCTTTTGATTTGGTTATGGTAGTGGTGATCCAATCCTGTAATCCCAGCTACTTGGGAGGCTGAGCCTGGAGGATTGTGAATGTGAGCCCAGCCTGGGCAGCATAGTAAGATCCCATCTCAAAAAACCAAACCAAACAAAATCTGGGTATAGTGATTCATGTCTGTTATCCTAACTACTTGAGAGGTAGAAATTGGGAGGATTGTGTTTTCAGGCAAAAAATTAGTGAGACCCCCCATCTCAATAAATAAGCCAGGCAGTGTAATATGTCTGTAATTACAGCTACTGGAGGCAAAGTGGAGTATTGCAGTCAAAGCCTGGCCCTAGTCAAAAACAGGAGACCTTATCAGGAAAATAACTAAAGCAGAAAGGGCTGGGAGCATAGCTCAAGTGGTAGAATGCCTGCTTAGCAGGCATTCCAAAAGAACAAGAAGAAAAGAAAAAAATTTATTGTTTGATTTAATGCCAAACGTCAGTAGGTTGGAAATAAATGAAGTTTGCTTTATTGATATGAAAAAGTGAAATACAAATAAATATATCCCACTTTTTATAACATGTTCCTGAAAAATTGAATATAATTCAAGATAATTGAATATGAATTGGTATGTAGAGAACAGACTGTTAATCTCTTTGGTCTAAAAGTTTAGTACAGTGCCATCCAAATCTAGCACAGCAAGGTTCTAGGACTTCGAATTTGCCGTTGTACTTGCTAGGGAGCAGGCAAGACAAGTGAGGAAGTAGGGCTGGTTCAAGTACTTCAATACTCTGAGTTCAAATCCCCAGCACTGCCCAAAAAACACCACAATGAATAATCGTGAAATACATCTGGTTTCACTTAGTGACAATTTACAAGTAGCTCTTCTTGATTAAACTGCGATATTGTGGTTATGTGACTACAAAGCAGTCCTTTGTAAGTTTCTCATGACTTTGGTTGTACCAAATTGGTTGGAGTGTTAATTCTTGCCTCCCTTACATCTCAGAGTTATCAAACAAAGTGCACTACTACTTCCTTCTCAAAACTTGCTGTCTTCATTGACACTACAAGCATCCCTTGCTTTCTTTCCTCTCCCTTTAGGTTTTTTTTTTCCTTTCAAAGATTTTTGCACTCTTCTATCTTCTGGGAGTCCAATGACTCAGTTCCCTGAGTTGTGATCATTTTATTCCAACTTTGTTCTCTGTGTATTTCAGATTAGATAATTTCTCTTTGTCTATCCTCTATTCTCACTTTGACATTCCCTCTTTTCTTATCGTCTTCATTCAGCTGTTGAGGCATCTAGGGAGATTTTAAAACTTCTGGTATCTTAATTTTTTAATTGTTGTTCTTTTTAAAAATTGTTTCAATTTCTTGCTGAAAGCTTGTCTTTCCATAATTTCAAGTTCATTTATCTTTACCTTATGAAATATATGTAGTAAATTCTTTAATTTGTGTGTGTGTGCGTGCTTGTGTGTGCTAAGGATAGAATAGAACCCAGGGACTCAGGAATGCTATGCAAACTCTCTACCACTAAGCTACACCCCTCCCCTCAGCCCCTAAAGTTTTTGTCTTATAATTCTAACATCTGCATAATTTCCAGATTGGCATGTGTTGTCTTTTCCTCTGAGAGTTCCTCACTTTTTCCTGACTTGTTGCATATTGACAAATTTACGATAGTATTCTAGTCATTTTGAATTTTAATACTATGTTTTAGGCTTTTTCTTTTCAAAACCTCTGGCAATGGTAGTTTCTTTTCTTTCTTTTCTTTTCTTTCTCTTGGTGGCACTGGGGTTTGAACTCAGGGTGCTACACTTGCTAAGTAGACGCTCTACCACTTGAGCCATTCTGTCAGCCCCTCTTTTTTCTTTTTTTAAACTAGACAGTTGACCCAGATATTTAAAAACTATACATTCTCTCTCACCTTCTGCAAGTATGGCTGTATTAACCATTTTAAGGCAATCTGCTTGCTGATTGCTGCCTATCCTGTGCGTGTGCTTCTGAGAATTAGTCTGAGGTCTGAGCATTGGTTCAGTTCTCAGTTCTCAGAGCCTTTTCTTTGTTGGTTGAGAATGCACAAGTGTGCACAGCTCTGGGATAAGCCCCAGCTGTACATTGGAATCGGGATTTCTGTCATTTCTCCTCTGTCTCCTCTCCCCCTCAAAACTTAGTACACATAAAGACCCTTTTTTTCTGCCCAGAAAACAGGGCGTCTGAGTTTCACATTTCGCTACAGCAGTGCATCTCCCTAGATCAGACCTGCCTTTTAACCTTGTGATTACCTTCCAGAAGCAGAAGTAAAGTCCAGACCAGACCTTTTGTTTGGGTGTGGTGAGAGAAAAGCTGGGAAACTCATTCTGTAAGAGTTTAGTTAACTGGTAATTTAGAGGGAATAGTCCATATGACTGCCTTTACTAATTAGGCCAACTGCATATTTTGGAGGTCCCCCGGGAAGACTTTCAAAGTTTATTAATTTTCTTAGAAGAACTTACGTAATTCACTGAAAGCCTTACTCATGACAGTGGGAAGGATGCATGAAAAGGGTACAGAACAAGATCAGCCAAGGGAAGACACATAGGATGGAGTCATGGTAAAGTACAAACACAGCTTCTGGTTGTCCTCTGGGCGTGCACTCAGGACAGCTTACTTTACAGGCATCAAAGAGTGACAGCACGTGGGGATTATTGCCATTTAGTGACGCTCACTCAAGCCTTGGCGTCTAGGGTTTTATTTAGGCTCCAGCCTGTTGTGTGCTTGGTTGCCCCTATGTCTGATAGCAGCTTCTGATCCTTGGTTCCTCCAGAGTTCAGCTAATACCCACTGACCCAAGTCTAACCCAGGTTACACTGGCCAGCCCAAGGCACTTCTTGAGCCTAGTGATTGATTACCTTCTAGCAGCCAAAAATACCGTTTTTGGGTAAGGGTAAATTCTTTACTTCATCTCCCCATATGAATCAGGTTTTTATTTTCCTCCTCATTATGCCAGTTTTCCTTTTCTTTTGTTGTTTTTTATCTTTTTATTGTTGTTTTTTGATTTTTTGAGATAGATCTGGACATGTAGCCCGCGCTGGCCTCAAACTCACGGTCCTCCTGCCTCAGCTTCCTGAATGTTGGGATACACCATTATACCTGGCTTGCCAGCTTTCTTAATTTTCATCATTTTAGGTAGTTTCTTTTTAAGATACAACTCATGTACCATGGAAGTCAACATTTTAAAGTGTGTAGTTCAGTAGATTTTAGTATATTACATTTTCAGCACCCAGTAGTTGTTATCTACTACTTCCCACTCTCCATATCACCAGTCTTGCACTTCTACTTTGTCTCAGTGGATTTACCTTCTTTGAACATTTCAAACAAATGGAATCATGCAATATGTGATCTTTGTGTCTGGCTTCTTCCTTTACTTATGATGATTTGAAAGGACATCCATATAACAGCATTTATTAGCACTTCATTTATTTATTGCTGAAAGTATGCACACATGACATATTTTGTTCATGCATTCATGTTTTGATGGACATTTGGCCACTATGAACATTTCTGTACAGTTTTCTTGTGGGAAGTTAGTTTTTGTGTTTTTTGTCCAGAATTCAGTTGTGTCAGGCTGAGGTGGGAATGTTGTTGGCTTGCTGGGTCTTCATTAGTACCAAAAGTCCAAGTCAATTTTAAATAACAAAATTGCATTGAGCTTTAAATTCATGGAACCTTAAGCCACAGACTTCAAGTCAGAATTATTGTAAGATCTTGGTGTAGAATTTATTTTCCAGTTCTTGAAAAGTGCAATAAGGGTGATTATCACAATAGTATGGTGTAGGCCGTTAAACACAGGTGTCTTGGGATTAGGTATATGAAACTTCAGTGTTGGCTAGTTCCATGATTGGAGCCTGGTTCTTGTTCCCAGTACATGGATGCAGTTAGAACTCAGCGAAGCAGTGTGAACTCAATGACCTAGTTAAATGTTTAAACATTGTCCTATTCAAACGTGTAGTCAGTCCTCACTGGGAAATAATAACACCTCCTCAGAAACTTGCATTTGACAAGAGCAAGATCGTTTATAGTCAGGTTTATATCTAAGATGAAACCTTATACACTACTTGAGAAAGAATAAGTTGGGTCAGGAGTTAGAAGAAGAAAAGGACAATGGGGGGCTGTTGCAGTACATTAGGCAAGATAATATATAGTGCTTTGAAGAATGTGAATATAAATGAGCTGGAGAGAATAGTCACATCTGTGATACGTGTTTCAGGTAGGGTGGGCAGGACTTGGTTGCTGATGGCTTGGATATGGGAGGTGAAAGAAGGGAGGAAGTAAAAATTTATTTAAAGGCCTCCTGATTGAACTTCTTCTATTTACTGTGTGAAGAAAAACTGAGGGATGAACTGAGAATATGAGGAGGTTAGTTAATTGGGAATTCATTGAGGGGTGTCTTGTGCTCCTCCCCACCCCCACCGCATGTTTTGAGCTATATTAAGAGCAACGAGAGCTATTCAAAGTATGGGGAAGTGGTTTTATAACTGATGTCAAGGCAACTAAGCATACACATTCAGCATATGTGCTGTGATGGAACATGCACACCAAAATAGCATATAGAACAAATGTTTATGTATTCTTTGAAGCCATTCCTACTAATCCTTTATCACTCATTATTATTTCTATTATAGACTCATTTTCCCCTGCCATCAGCTGTGGGTGCCATTAAGGTTTACAGATGGCTTCTTCAACACTCAATTGTAAAAGCTCTTCAGAGTTTTCATAATCTGTTTTGCTCAGTTCAGTTTGCTAGTTGTGCAGCATTACCTTTTTTGGTGGGCAGCACTGGGATTTGAACTCAGGGCCTCACAGGCATAGGCATTATCCTGATTCTGCTTAGATGATTTTTATTTAGGAAAGAAGAGAAGAATAGTATTAGTTCTTCAGATATTGCTGTCTTACTAGTTGTTCCTATATTCCCATTTATGTAGAAATACAAAAAGAAGTTAGGAGAATGTATCATCCACAAATTGATCATTTTCTGAGTTGGACCATTCATAACTGATCCAGAGGGTTCATATAATCAGTAAATTTTGGGGAGCAAGGTATTGGAGTTTGAACTCAGGTCCTTGTGCTTGCAGGCATTTTACCACTTGAGCAACTCTGCCAGCCCATAATTAGTAATATTGATCTTTTTCTCCTCCATCTCCCTTTCCCTCTATCACATTATAACACTGAGTTACAAAGCTAATGAATGAGTATGGCAACTGCCTAGCTTCTAAATTAGGTTGGTTTTTACTTGTTACCTCTGAAAGAAGCCAAGAAGTGTCTAAGTCACTGGTTCTTCATGGGAAATGACCTGAAAGGAAGTCTTAAGGGCTACTTACATAGTAGTACGTGGATGACGTGGGCATGCATTCCTTGCCAGTAAAATTTATCTAGTTATATTACAACATGATACTTGTGATTAACAATACTCCAAAATGAATGATCTCTGTTGCATTCTTCGTTTTCTCTCTTCTTACCCCTTTCCATATCAGTCATGTTACTTTAGTTATAAAACATTGGCAGCTGGAAAAGATACAGTTTACATCCCATTTTACTATTGAAGAATGAAGGCCCATGGGGATTTAGACTTGGCAAATATCATTCAAGTAGTTCAATGAAATTAGAATTCAGGCTTATTGCTTCTGGTTTTTATTCTTTCAGTATATCATACTGCCTTTGCATCCATAGGTCTCCCTACTCTTCTTATTAATAAATCTGTTCTATTATTCTTCAGACTTACTGTGTACTGACATATAATAGCATTAAGTTGGTTGTTGTCTAATTACAAATTGCTTTCTGGAATAATTTGAAATAAAAAACTATACTAATGAATGGCTTCTGAAAGGGCCAGCACATTTTTTTTTTTAAGCACATACTGATTTTATAGTGGAGGGGCTCATTGTGATTTTTCTCTGCATGCATATAATATACTTTGATCATTTTCACCCTTTCAGTACTCTTTATCTTCCCTCCAAGAACCAGTACATTAAAACAAACAAACAAACAAACAAAACCTAAATGTTTAAGTAGGCCTTTATGGATTGCTGTTTTGCAGAGCTCAAAATTGTTACCTAGTAAGTTTTCTTTCAGTCTTCTATCCCAACCAAAGTAGTAAATTCCTGTAGGCCTGGGATTATAAAGAATTTTGGAAACCATCCAGAAATACACCCAATAAACAGATTGAAACATTCCTGTTTTGAGGGAACTTCATCATGTCTAATTGATACTAATATATTTACTTGTGAATAAGATAATCTCACATGGTATTTAAGGTTATATATTTTAGCTCACCTTCTACCAAAAACTGATCAGAGTATGGAATTTTCTCCCCCTTACGCAAAAGTATACATAACAAAGGAAGTAAAGTCAGCATTCTCATTCCTTTTAGAAGAAATCATTATCTCAGCATAGATCTTTTGGCTGTTTGCCAAGCTGAATTGCCTTGAAGTGATTTAGTTTAAGAATGAAGTACATTTTTTTATTAAGTTGTTATCATTTTTACCTAAGATTAGCTCGTGCCTTTGTAGGTTAAGCCTACATCTTATATATTAGTTACAGTCTGCTTTCAAGCATGCAAACTTGGTAGGAATGTCAAAAAGGACTAATATTGGAAAAGAAACAGAAACAAAATGCTTCCGTATTGACAAAAAACAAATATTCTTATCTATTGTTATTGAGTGCACAATGAATTCCATTGTGGGTGAAGGGAAGCTAGTAAAGCGTAGGGTCTATAGTTGATGGCTTTTTGATGGCTCCTTGAGATGAAATGCATGGGAAGACTGTTAAAGAATGAGGAATACTCTGTGTTCATAAGGAACACTGACTGCTCCAGTAGTCATGCTGTGCCTTGTACTTAATGGTCTTCTGGAGTGGTTTACGCTATTAGCAGATTTCATTGCGAATTTTTAGACAGTGATATTTTGAACTAACCTGTAAAATTTAAAGATACCAATGTTTGTGTAGCAAAATGGGGGTTGGCGATAATTTAAGGGATTGTGACTATTGCTGGGAGGGAAGGGGACAGTAATTGGGACCTTATTGTTGCTTTATAATGAAAAAACTTTTTTTTTCCCTCCTTTCATTTTCTTGGGTGCATTCCAACTCCAGAAGGTAAGAAGTACTACTTTATTCTAAAGAAGTATTACGTAGTTTTAAAGCACTTTTATAAGTTTCATTGAACTTACCTTTGGGTGCATGATTTTTACTTTGTAAAACGTAACAATTAGCCCAGAAACTATAATAGTGATATATAAGTGTTTTTTTCATTAAATGTGCCCTTTTTGGCTCTTGCAGTTTATAATCATTATTTGGCCATAATTTTAAAAACAATAAGGTTTATTGTATCATTTGACTTACTGGCATTGGAATATCTACTGTTCTTCAGATTAATGATGAAAGTAATTAAAAGATTAGAAATGTGTAGGTTAACATTTGCTTATTGGCTATAAATTTGAAAATGTATGTTTGTGCTCTGGCTAATTACGAGAAAATATTGTTAAATCCTTTACAGGACTGATAACTTATTTAAACCCAGGCCAGAATAGCTTAAAATTCAGAGTCTGGATTTTTGTGTGTGTTGGTGTAACATTTTAGGTAACCCTCTGTTTTAGCAGTCGTTGAACTTGCCTGTGTGACTTGAGAACGGGAACTTGTATATTCATGTCACTTGCACATGGCACACTTGTTTATAGTTGGAACTTAATCTTTGTAGCTTCATGTAAATTTCTACTCTACTGGGCTAGGAATGTTTCTCAAGTGGTGGAGTTCCTGCTCAGCAAAAGTGAGGACCTGAGTTCAAACCCAAAACCTACCCTTTTGCCCACCGAAAAAAGCAAGCAAGACAAATTTGTACTTTATTAAGTTTGTTTATTTATTTAGTTAGTTCATTTATTTATTGTGGTACTGGGGTTTGAACTTGGAACTTGAGTCATTCAGCTAGCCCCCCTTTTTTTGTGTTGGCTGTTTTGGAGATAGGGTCTCTTGAACTATTTGCCCTGGCTGGTTTCAAACCGCCATCCTGATCTCTGCCTCCTGAGTAGCTAGGGTTACAGGCGTGCCCAGCCAAGTTTGTTGATTTTTGAGGAACAGTTTATGAAAGATACCTTAAGGTCTTACAAAATGAAAATTATAATTAAAAAGTTAAAAAGTAGGTAAATTTTTGTTGTGTTCCTATTGTTTGAAGGGTTTTTTAAGGTACGAATAATAGGAATGAAATATCCATAGCTTAAGAAAAATGAGATTTATTGCAAGATTCCTGTGGCATATATCATAAGCTTAAAGGAAAGAAAACAGCCTCAGGAGTTAAGAGAATGAACTCAGCTTCAGAGATTAGACAGGCTAGAACTAATAATGGGTAGTCTCATCAAAGTACTTCAGCTGGGATGAATTAATGTTTGTCTGTTTTGCTCAAGGTTAAAATTCAAGGAAGAACGAGTCTCTCTACCCAGTCTCCAAGACTCTTTTAGTGGGGTAGAGCATATTTCCCTAGAGCAAAAGTCAGTGTTCTTTCCAGAAAAAGAGTTCTGGACAGAAGGAACAGATGTCCCTTACATGACTCACTGTAGAAAATTAGAATACAACAGAAAAACAAGTCACAAGAAGTTTTAAAAAATAACCCTTAGGGTTGAAGGTGTGGTTCAAGAAGTATAGTTCCTGTGTAGCAAGCACAGAGCCCTCAGTTCAAATACCAGTGCTACAAAAAACAGACAGACAAACAAAAATACACCCAGAAACAAAAAACTAGCAACAACCACAAAAAAATCCTAAAATAACAACAATAACAAAATAAACTGAGCTGTGTATCCCATGGCTGTAATTCTAGCTACTTGAGAGACTGAGATCAGGAGGTTTATGGTTCGAAGCCAGCCAGGGCAAATAGTTCATGAGACAGCCCCTCCAACCCCATCTCCAAAATAAGAGCAAAATGGATTGGAGGTTTGACTCAAGTGGTAGAGCACCCGCTTCACAAGTGTGAAAGCCTGTGTTCAAACCCCAGTCCTACACCAGAACAAAAGAAAAATTTCTGAGTAATACATAGCACAGTATTACAGCCAGAATATTGCTTTTGATAAGTTGAACCAGGTTTTACTCAGTTGAGTGTATGCCTTGCAGGTTGTGAATATGTGTGTAGTTCTGTGAGGGTTTATCATTTATAGATTCATGTTTCCATCATTACAATTAAAGAACCGAACAGTATCAACAGGAGTACTCCCTTTTCTTCCCCTTTTTTGCCATGTCTCCTTCTTCTCCTCAGCAGTTCGGTCTTCTTTGCTGCTGAATAGTATCCCATGACTTGAATGTCCCACAGTGTCTATACCATTTACCCATTGAAGGATATCTGGATTGTTTTCATTTTTTGGCTATCCCAAATAAGGCTTCTGTCTGGCATAAATGTGCAGAAGTGCAATTGCCAGGTTTTATGGTAAGTGCATATTTAGTTTTTGTTCTTTTTTTTGGTTCTTTTTGAGGCAGGGTCTTGCTTTATAGCCTAGGTTGGCCTCAAACTTGCAATCCTCCTAGGAATCTCTGCTTCTTGTTGTACAGGTATGAACCACCACACTTGGTTTCATGTTTAGTTTTAAAGAAATTTCCAAGTCGTTTTCCAGAGTGACATTACTGTTTTACAGTCCCACTAGCAATATATGAGTTTCTTTGAATTTGAAATGAATTTATTGTAAGTTACATACTGTTTAGATTGTTTTTTCTTCCTCCTCTGCCAGTTCTTACCTTTTAATTTGTGCTCACACCATTTATGTTTAATTATTCATATGCAAGTGTAAACCTAGCATTTTATTTAATTGCTTTCTGTTTATTTCCTTTTTTACTATCTATTTTGATTTATTTGTAGTGTATTCCTTTGTATTTCTTTGTATGGTTTACTTAGTGTTTCTACTGGGTATTATAATGCACACGTTAATTTCTTACAGTTTACTGGCATCATTATTTTACTACCTCATGTAAAATGTAGAAACCTTATTTCCATTTAGATTCTTGAGTATTGGGATGGTATTAATTTTTTTCTCCAATTGCAAAATATGAAAGCCAAGGAGAATAGTACACATCCACTCCGGCTTCCTGTTTATCCTTCTTTCTTCCTGATGCTATAAAATTCCTTATTATTTCCTTTCTATTGAAGAACTTCCTTTAATTATTGTTTTAAGAATAGGTCTGTCTGGGCACCAGTGACTCAGGCCTGTAATCCTAGCTACTCAGGAGGCAGAGATCTGGAGGACCACAGTTTGAGGCCCTTCTTTTCCCTCCAAAAGATGAGTCCTTATCTCAAAAATACTCAACACAAAAGAGGGTTGGTAGAGTGACTCAAATGGTAGAGCATCTTCCTAGCAAGCTTGAGGGCCTGAGTTCAAAATTGAATACTGCAAAAAAAAACAGTAGGTGTGCTAGTGACAAGTTATTTTAGTTTTCCTTTCGTGGGTCTGTCTCTATTTTTTGTTTATTTCTGAGGCATAGTTACTAGATGTAGAAATCTTCTTCTCAGCACTTAGGAAATGTGCTACTTCTTTTTGGCCTCTGGTTTTCGATGTGAAATCTGGCATTTGAATTGGCATTTCTCTGTAGGTAATATATTGTTTCTTTCTGTCTTCTTTTAGGACTTTTTCTTTGGATTTAGTTTTCAAAAGTTTAATTATGATGTATCTTGGTATGGAGTTATTTATTTATTTATGATTGGACTTCGGTTTGAATTCAGGGCTTTGTGCTTGCAAAGCAGGAGCTCTCCACTTCAGCCACCGTTCCAGTCCATTTTACTTTGGTTATTTTGGACATTAGGGTCTCTCAAACCGTTTGTCTGGACTAGCCTCCAACTGTGATCCTTCAATCTCAGCCTGCCAAGTAGCTAGGATAATAGGCGTGAGCCACAAGTGCCTGACTGGCATGGAGTTATTTATGGTTTATCTTATTTAGGTTCTACTCAAGTTTCGTATGTCTGTGTATTTATTTCTTTAACCAAATGAGAAGTTTTCAACCATTAATTCTTTGGATACTCTTTCTACTTGAAAAAAACCCTAACCCTTTTATAACTTTCAATGATATGTACGTTAAATCTTTTGTTACTATCCCTTTGCTTCCTGAGGTTCAGTTATTGCAAGGTGGGTGTTACTACCACTTGAGCCATTCTGCCAACCCATTGACCTGTCCTTGAAGTCACTGATTCTGTATTCTGTCATCTTCACTCTACTATTGAGCCCATCCTATGGTCTTTAAAATTTCTTAATGTGTTTTTCAATTCTGTAATTTCTGTCTTTCAGAACTTTCTGTTTCTTTGCTCACATTTCTAGATTTTCAGTCATTTCAAGAAAATTTGTGTTTTTTGAAGTATTTTATAAAAACTATGTTGAAGTTCTTGTCTTAGAATTTCAGTATCTGTCAGTCTTAACATTACTTGGTTTTCTAAATTGTGATTTTCTTAGTTCTTGGAATGATGGGTGATTTCTTGTTGAGTCCTGGGTATTTGGGATGTTATGTTAGGAGATATTGCGTCTATTAAGTCTTTTATTTAAGCAGGCAGTCACCATAGATTTATCATGTAAGTCCTAGACCTCTTTGGGTGGTTGTGTTTCTATAACAACTCAGGGTTCAGAGCCTTTGCTTTGCTATTTTGGTCTGCTTGTTTTATCTGATACTACAGAGGCCCCTAGTAATCTCTGCTGCTTCTGTTTGAGAGGGTAGAAGAAGCTTCCACAGCTGGGTTGTTGCCCATAAGACTGAAAAAACTAGGTGCTATATATCTCAACTAACAAAAACCCTTGGTCCTTCCTATTATTGCTTATATTCTCTCTTCAATAAAATTAGAGATAAGGGCAAAATAGTTTCTGCCTGATAGTGAGGGGGTGGGGTGTAAGGGAGGGAGCGGGGGGAAGGTGGGAGAAATGACGCAAACATCGTATGCATATATGAATAAAAGAAAAAAAAACACACACACAGGAAAAAAAAAAGAAAGAAAAAACTAGGTGCTATAACAAATCAGTAGTGAAAATGGCCTTGGCTAAGATGGGAGCCAAGACCCAAGGCAGGTCTTTATGTCTGTAATCCCAGCTACATGAAAGGTGGAGATGAGATTGGGAGGATCTGCATTGGAGGCCAACTCAGGCAAA